GACGCTTAACCGACTAAGCCACCCAGGCGCCCCTTGCGTCCGACTTTCACTTAGGTCATGATCTCATGGTTTGTGGGTTCGAGCCCCGCGTCGGGCTCTGTGCTGACTGCCAGCTCAGAGCCTGGAGCCTGTTTCAGTCTGTGACTCCTCTCTCTCTGACCCTCCCCTGCTCACGCTGTCTCTCTCTCTCTCTCTCCTAGAAATAACTAAAACATTAAAAAAAAAAAGCATTAACAACAAGAACAATAAAAATTTAAAAAATGAAATTCCTGGACCTTCCCACATGCCCAGTTTCACAGTCAGGTATAAACCACCTGAGAGGCAACTGGAGACCGTAAAGATTATCTGCTGTGTTGGGTTCTGGTTTTGCCCCCGCTTTGCCGGCAGAGGGACAACTGAATTGAGGAAAGAAGGACTTGGTTCGAACCTGCCTAGTGGGCCATGGCCAAGATGGCCGGCCGCGGGCTTCCTTACCACTGTTGTCCAGGGCACCTGAGGGATCCTGGTGTAGGTCATTGTTATGTAGATGATGAGGAAGAAGACGGTGAGGACCCAGTAAAATACGGCTACAAACATGACCCAGCCAAAAGCAGGGACCCGGAAGTACTCGGTTCCGGCGATAAGCGTCCACACCAGCAGTCCCAGAGCCTGTAAAATGGTAGAGGCAGTGGACAAGAAAAGAGAGACACAAGGAGAAAAGAAAGAAAGAAGCAGAGACAGAGAAAAAAAATACAGAGTGTCAATTACAGGTTTTATTCATATTTACACATACACACGACTAACAGACATAAGACGGGATGCAAATTCAGGTGCCCACAAATGCCAGAAGATACAATAAATGAAGACGGGAGGCCGCACAGAGACCAGAAAACAAGAAAAACGATGTCCTCTTGTAAGGGGCAGTCTCTACTCAGCTCCAGCAAACTGCTGAGGGCCATTTTTTTTTTTTTTTTTTTGGTATATATGAAAATTTATTGCCATGTTTTCATCATCCAAACTTAAGACCTTGGTCTTTCCTTCTTGCCTTTGTATAAGGCCAAAAGAGAGACATTGGCTACTTTGACGACCTTAAAGTGAACTCCAGGAATGTCACCAACAGCATGACCTTTGCGACCAAATCCAGCAACCAGAACCTCATCGTTTTCTTCAATAAAAAACAACCATCATTGGGTATAAAGGTGGTGATTTTCTTGCCATTCTTATCAGCTGGACCCTGACACACTTCCTGATGGCAGAATTTGGCTGTTTGGCTTCAACCCCTACTTTTTGCAGCACAATTCCTTTTGCATGGGAAGCGCCTCCAAAAGGGTTGGCCTTCAGGGCTGTGCCCAAATGGGCTTTCTTGTACTGTTTATCGTGCCACTTCTGATCTCAGTGGTGGCTACGGAGCTTCCTGGCAGTACAAAGACCGCGACACTTGCCCATCCTGCCAGCACCGCGGGCCCGAGCTGAGGGCCACTTTTTTTTAACATAAGCTCTGTCGCCTCCAATGTGGGGCTTGAACTCATGACCCCAAGATCAAGAGTCATATGCTCCACTGATTGGGCCAGCCAGGTACCCCTGTTGTGCACCATTTTGTTAGAGCTTCCTTTTCTCCCCCCAGGAAAACGCAGACACTCAAGCTTGTACCTGGTAATCCTGATTTTTAAACATTTAGTTATTTCTGGGAGAGTGTAAGCAGGGAAGGGCAGAGACAGGGGGACAGAGGATCGGAAGCGGGCTCTGTGCTGACAGGTTGATGGCAGCAAGCCCGACATGGGGCTCGAACTCACAACCTGTGAGATCATGCCTTGAGCCGAAGTCAGATGCCCAACCAACTGAGCCACCCAGGTGCCCCGATAATTTTGATTTTTAAATGTTGGTAACTAATAATGATTTTTAAAACACCATGAGAGTATAAACCACACTCATGTATGGCTGGAGTTTGCTCACAGGTTGATGCTTGTCAGGGAAACAAGACTGCCTACTTGAGGTGCTCCCTGGGACTGATCTGCTCTCAGGGGATGAGAATCTCTGAGGACTCCCCTCCCCCTCCATCCCTGCCCTCCCCCCCGCCCTCCCCCCTTGCAGATGGCCAGTAACAAGTGGCTTGAAAGAGCTTCCGGAAAGAAGAAACAAGGGCCCAGGGCAGACACCGGCATTCAGCATTTTAACATAAGTTGTGCATTTATTCCAGCAACAGCCATCCAAATCTTCACCGCCACTGGTGAAAAAGACCAAAGCCAAAGCCAAAGCCAAATCAATGTCACCCACTGACTAGAGGCAAAGGGAAAAGAAACTGATCCAAAGTGTAGGCGTGGTTAGCCCTGAACAAAGGGAGGTCCACAGCAAAGTATGCATCTTGCATTCCAGCACCTTCCAGGGACCAGGACTTTATTCCTAAGTCAGGAAGGAGTTAGATCCAAATCATATTTCACAGAGACAGCATCAGGAAGGAGCCCAGGCGAGGCTCTCACTGCAAGTTCTAGATTGCTGTGTGACTCAGGACAAATTATTTCATTCCGGCTTTGTTCAAGGCATAGGGAACGAAATACTACAGAAACTTTAATCGCGAAGCTAGGATGATTGTTTTCACTCACTTGTTTAACCCTTGAGAGCACCTACACTCTGCCAGGCTTCCTGCTATCAGGCCCCAAGGTCAGGGTCAGGCACACATTGAACAGACCCCGCTGTACCACTTCAATTCTTGTGGGGGGAAATATCTGCCTCACTTTGTGACAAATGACGTGAAGGAAAACGGAGGCTGTGGTAAGGCTGTCTAACAGACAGATACGACCTCATTGCAGGCATGGGAAGTGTCAGGAAAGGCCAGGCTGAAGAACACCTGGAGACCTAGTAAAAGCTAGCGAGAGACACGGATGGGAAGGGAAGCTTCTAGGCACAGAACACAGCATGGGCTGTGGTCTGGAGCAGGGAAGGGCTGTGCTGCCTTCTAGAACCTGTAAGAAAGTACAGAAAGTTAGGGCTTTGGTGAAAAATGTTAGGTTGGGGAGGGTCAGGTGTAAGTTCTTTATACTGTCACCAGCTAGACCCCAGAGACTGACCTTTACTGCCTCACCTGCTTGTACTCCTCAACCTCTGTCCCACATTTTCCCTTAAGCTCTTCTTTCTAGCTTATCTCTTAACTCAGGCAAAAGACCGGTTGGGCAGAACATTCCATGACAGAAGATGAAACTACCCCTCAAGCGACAGAAAGCGTCCGAACCACTCACAGACCGGTTTGAAGTTAACCCCCAATCATGCCTGAGCAGATGGACCATGGAGCGACCCAGGGAATGACCAACAGTCACCTTTACCTCACTGTAATACTAAATCTCCCCCCAATCTCCAAGGAGGAGCCTTGTTTACACACAGGCGTGTTCCCTGAAGCCTCTACATACAGTGACAAGGCTCCCCTATCTAAATACTCATCCTAACCATAAATAAAAGGAACCCTGTCACCGTTGCTCAGGAGTCATGGCTTTGGAAGTTATTCCCCTTGATCTCATTTGTTGCAAATAAAGTTTCCTTTGTGCCACAGCCTCACCAGTTGTGCTTCCTTCTGTGGCTCACCAAGGAGGGAACTCACGTGAGTTTGGTTACAATACCACTCTGGCCACTTAAGGAGAATGGACACATGGAGGGGAAATGGGTGTGTGTGGGGGAGGGGGGCGGGCTCACACACACGCATGAGGAGATAAGCTCAGAGATTGTCACAATAGTCTTGGTGAGAGAAGATGATGTATTCAAGACCAAGATGGTGGCAGTGAATGTGGAAGTGAGGGAATTCGAGACAGACTTCAGAAGTGGCTGGGACATTAATAGACTCCATAGATTAGACCAGTGGAAAGACACGCGGAGTCTCTGGAAAGATATGCGATGGGCATTAGGGTGTCACTTCCTCACCTGGAACAATGAAACAGGAACGGGTAATGGGCTGATCTGAACAACAGTTCCTAGCTCAGTTTTCAACCTACACAATCTGAGGTGGCCGGGGATCCCGATTGGGATTAGAAGGGGATGCTGCAGGTACAAGAGTACAGGCCCCTCTTTAAGAAGGAAGATGTATGTGGGCCACCTGGGTGGCTCAGCCGGTTATGCATCTGACTTCGGCTCAGGTCATGATCTCACGGTTCACGAGTTTGAGCCCTGCATCTGGCTCCCTGCTGACAGCATGGAGCCCACTTCAGATCCTCTCTCTCTGCCCTCCCCTGCCAGAGCTCTCTCTCTCTCTCTCTCAAAAATAAACAGAAAAAAAAAAAAAGACACTGTGAGGATCATGAAGCTCTCATATAGGATTCCACGGGACATTTTACACTGTTCACAGAGAGAAGCCCGCCTCTCTGGTACAGTTTGGAGGCTGTGCTGGAGGGCACAAAACAGACTTTAAATGTTGCTGCCTCCCTTCTTTGGAGTTGAAAGTTGCTGTTCTTTTTATCTAGTTGATAGTGCACACGAATTCGAAAGCAATGCTTAATGGAGATGTGTTTTTAGGCTTACATTTGTGGCAGCAGAATTTATCAAAGGCGAAGATGTACAAAATGGGACAGAAGCTTCACTCTAATGGGGTTTTGGGCCTGAAGTCATCGTAACTGACAGGTAATCTACACACATAGATGTGACGCTCATTGGATCAGTGAGACGGGTAGTACATGTCATCCAGCATGGCGGGGTCTGAAATAACTTCACAGCGTTCTTGGTTCCAGCCGAAAGGGTCAGAACAGCCCTTTGCTGATGACGCACCCAGGAAACATGAGGGTGTATGAAGAAGCATGGCAAACAGGGGTAGGGTGTCTGTCCAGGGGAGTGCAAGGGCTTAAAGAGTCTCTAGCAGAAGCCCATGTCCAGCTAACCAGACTCGGCTAACAGCTCTTGGCTCTGAATGTGAAACGTTTTTCATTATTAAAGCAAGCAGAGCCACTGCCTAGAGATGCTTTGTATAATGAGCAGCAGTCCTCTTTTACACACGGGGACAATATCGTTAACTGAGCCCATGTCTCAAAGGGCTCAAATACCTGACCCATGACCTCACCGGCAAATACAGTTAAAAGAATGCCCCTGTCAAGAAAAGAATTCTTGTGAATTTCCTAGGTAACAGAAATAAGAAGCAAGCCTTTTGTCTCTCACTATAACTGATACTGATGAAAATCACTCCACGAAAGTGTCATTCGTTTCTTGCTCTGTGTGTGTGTGTTTAAGACAAACTCTAGCTCTTTATTTGCTTAGACTACAAAAACAGTGTTTGTTTTGGTCACTGATGAACATTTCTTTAGGCTAAGCCTTTTTTGAATGGTAAAGCTAAGACTTAAAATCCGGGAGTGATAAATGCAGGTAAGAGTAAACACAGAGAGATATATAAAGTATATATAAAATATACAAAGAAGCAAACACCACCATCCGCCAGTTGTAAATTCTCAAGAGAAACCAATATAAAAATTTTAAATCTACCCTTAACTTCTTCCCTTGCATCTATAACTACGAACTGCACGCTCTTTTCTTTCCCTCTTGAAAATATGGATCATGCTGTACATGGTGCTTATGACTTGCTTCTCTCAGTGAGCAATACCATGCGGGACCTCCTTTCACATTACTACCTACCGTTTTATGCCAATTTCAACATTTGCCTTGTTTTCTATAATTCATGTAACCAGTTCCCAATTGAGAGAAAT